AAAAAAAAACAAAAAAAAAAAATAAAACCCCTGGGCAACCCGCGTACTACCCCCCCCCCCCCCCCCCCGTTTCTCCCTCCTTCTCTCAGTCTCTCCTCGCATCCACTCATTGCGTGATGGAACACGCTGTTATCACCCTCGTTGTTGCTACCCTCCACGGACTTTATTGCCTCTAGTTCAACTTGACATAGTTTCCTACAGCACGGGTTAGCATCCAAATGCGCAAAGAGGAGATTGCAGCAGTGGCAAAAGACAACAAAGCATACCTGGAAACTGGCCTTGTTTTCCGTTCACCTTGCCTTGCCACCATTCATTTTCATTCTGTGTTCTTTGTATAATCTCAATGACATCACCTGCCCGGAAACTCAGATCGCCTTCTGCCTGTGCCGCGAAGTCGTATAGGGCCGTCACTGTCTCAGGCGGCGGCGCACCGCTCAGACGGGTCGGCTTGGGCTTGGGCGGCGGCGGAGGCTTCGCCTTGCCAGCAACCAGCGTTGAAAGGCCGGGTTTCGTAGAAGGGCTATATGGCGGCGGCGCGGCCGCTTCGCCCGTGTCTTCTGCTGGGAAGCCGCCGAACTTGGGGCTCATCTTCTCTGGTGTTGCAGAACCTGCGGTGAGCAATCCCTGAGGCTTAGCAGCCTCGATCGTAGGGCGACCACCGACCTTGGGAGGCGGCCGCCGCTGTCCAGTAGTCTTGAACCGTACGATGCTGAGCGCTTCGGCTTGCTCTTGGATATCGCCTCGCTTCTCGTTAAAGGCCTCCTCAATGTCCCTAGTCAGATCAAAGTATCCAATATCGCACCGCTGCATCCGCTCGTGTAATGTGTAGAAAATGTTGAGCTGCATGTAGTAGAAGGACTGGAAGAGCGGCTTGATGAACTCCTGCTCCAGCTGGAATAGCTTGGGCAGCTCGTCTTTCAAGAGATTGTTGTAGTATTCAAAATCCTGCGTTGCTTGCTCACAGTCGCCTTCGGCCTTCCACATGGCCTTTTCGTCCTTGGCCGAGCGATCCTTCTTATCTTGAAGCTTCTTGAGGGTGGTACGATGCCGATCGTAGTCTAGCTGCTTGTGGTCTCGCTTCACAGCAGTTTTTTGGATGACCTTGATGACATCCAGCAGCTCGTTGGCCGGCCGGATAACTCTGGACTCTATAGTCTCCAGCTCTGGAGCCAGCGTCTCCTGTAGCTCTAGCACAACGGCCTCATATTCCTCACAGGCAGCAATACCCTCCGGGTTCCCTTCGGGCTTTATGGAGTCGGGGTCGGACACGCGACCGGAGATGGGCTTGTAGACCTCTGTCATTGCTTTACTAAATTCAATCTGGTGGTTGAGCATGCCATTGATGGCCTCGAAGTATTTCTTTGACTCATCGTGGAGCTTCTTTGTCTCCTTTTCCAGCTCCTGGAAGCGTCGCTCGGCGTCGATGTATACGGCGTCTTTGGTGTGCTCGCCAATGTTGAACTTTGACTTGAATTGTTGCGGCGCCTAGATTGCGAGCACGGATTAGCTGTTTGAGGACACATCGCGATCTGGGCCGTGGCATCTCTTATTTTCCCTTCTCCAAGTTTCGGAGGGGCGGCCTTGTGTTGCTGCCGCTTTGGGTGAGGGGCAAGGGGAGTCAAAGAAGAGCATTTACCCTGACAAGGCTTTTCTGGAAGCCTTTGAAACTCATGGCGACGCGCTCTTGATCGGAACTGTGTACGGGAGCAGCAAGAGTAGCGGAAATTCGGGTGGTGACAAAGAGCAAGTTGCGCGCGCAAGGCACCGGCGATCCGGGAGACGGACAGAAGCCCTCGCCAGCTGGGTTGGAGGTCAAAGTCTAAGTAAATGTATGGGACGGTGACGACTTTGGGTGGCTGTGCTAGCTTTTTAGCATGTGGCGCATGTCCAACTCCGGGCCTCCGCAGCGCTGTGGAAGCCGCCGGAATTTGCCTGGGCTGGGGCAGAAGCCAAGCTATTAGTTATACCTCCAGTGCTAGCAAATGAATGATCCCATGCTCCGTAATATGATGATGACGGCTATCGACTGAATTTGATTCCCCCAAGATGGGGCTGCTTACCATATTGCTGTGTATCCGTACCCAAGCTGGGTCAGCTTTAGCAGTGGCAGTTTTACTTGTTGCACCTTGACATCTCGGACTGACATGCAGGAGATGCCCTAGCGCTAATGGAATCAAAATGCAGCACCCCGGACAAGTTCTTATCACCTCTCCCTCTCCCGGGACGGGCCTGATGGGCAGAATATTGATGCATCCTTATAATCAACGGAATTTACTGACAATACACGCATTCAAAGCTCAGTAATGATTCAGTGCAAAAGGAAGCCCGCATCATGGTTTATTAAGGTGCTGAACTGAGCACCAGCTTGTGACATGACGTCGTTGGCCTCGATATCCGAGACCTTTTTTTGCCGCCAACGGGGTCACTGTATCTGCTGGGTCACCCAAAGGCCGCCACTACCTACTGCTGCCACTGCTGCCACTGCTGCTATGCCGCCCGCTAATAAAAGACACCGGCCCATCTCGGCCTTTCAGCGTCCAAAAGACGATTGAATGCGCCGTGGAGCTGCTTTCCGGCATTCAGCCGAATATTCCACGCATTTTCAGCCAATTACCCGCACGTATCACCGAGCTAGGTACCGAGCCGGACCCCATTGACAAATACAAGTTCGCGTTGATTTAAAAAAAAAAAAAACTGCCTCTCCTCAGCAACTCCAACCTTCTCACCTGGCTGGAAGTTTCTGTCCCCATGTAAACTATCCATCCGCACAACAGCCATGGCTAGTATTGCATCGTCAGCGCTGAGGTCGGCGAGCCGCCTTGGCCCCAGCACGGCTGTCGCTGCGGCGCCGTTGCGAGGAATTCACAGAGCTGCCCTGGTGGCGGCTACGAGGAGGAGCGGGAGGCGAGGCTATGTGACCGAGTCCAAGAGAGACAATGCGCGGGTCGAAACGGCTATTAAGCTGGACAAGAAGGATTTTGCAGACATTCCTCAGCAGATGGACATGACCTCGCCTAACATGAAGGTCAGCCCGATGGCCGGTATGTCGTCCTCGGTTACCTCTTGTTGCGAACTGCAGGAATGAACACCATAGAGGCTAATGCGCAATTGCAGAGGTTCTCAAGACCGCAGCCGTCATGGAGGAGGGCCAGCGACCCATCTACCTCGACATGCAGGCCACCACGCCTGTTGACCCCCGTGTCCTTGATGCCATGCTGCCGTTTTACGTCGGCGAATATGGCAACCCCCACTCAAGAACGCACGCTTACGGCTGGGAGAGTGAAAAGGCCGTGGAGCAGGCCCGAGAGCATGTGGCGAATCTGATTGGCGCCGACCCCAAAGAGATCATCTTCACCAGCGGTGCTACGGAGAGTAACAACATGAGCATCAAGGGAGTTGCTCGATTCTTCGGCCGATCTGGCAAGAAGAAGCACATCATCACCACTCAGACCGAACACAAGTGTGTGCTGGACAGCTGCAGACATCTGCAGGATGAAGGGTTCGAGGTTACCTATCTGCCTGTCCAGAACAACGGCCTGATCAAGATGGAGGACCTTGAGGCTGCCATCCGGCCTGAGACGGCCCTGGTCAGCATCATGACTGTGAACAACGAGATCGGAGTCATCCAGCCGATCGAGCAGATTGGCAAGCTCTGCCGTGAGAAGAAGATCTTCTTCCATACCGATGCTGCACAGGCTGTCGGCAAGATCCCCATTGATGTCAATGCCATGAACGTTGACCTCATGTCCATTTCATCACATAAGATTTACGGCCCCAAGGGCATTGGCGCATGCTATGTCCGCAGACGCCCGAGGGTTCGGCTCGACCCCCTCATCACTGGTGGTGGGCAAGAGCGAGGTCTACGAAGCGGTACCTTGGCACCACCCCTGGTTGCTGGCTTTGGTGAGGCATGCCGCGTTGCCAAGGAAGAGATGGAGGTATGTTGACACCTTTCCCCCCTCTTTTTTTCATCGTTTTCCCATTCTTTACAACCACTTCGTCAAATCCCTTTCCGCATCCATGTGATGATCTGCTTGTACATGCATGGCTTTCTGAATGGCCCGTGACAAGGCCCTTCGTGTTGAGTGTAGCAACCTGTCTGATTCTTGCGGTTTCCCTTTCCCACGTTGTCTTGGTTTCAGATCATTTGAGTGTCCTATTATGGCATGGCTAACCGAGCATCGCTGTACAGTACGACTCCAAGAGGATCAAGTTCCTATCAGATCGACTCTTGGGTGGACTGCTTGCTATGGAGCACACCAGCCAGAATGGCGATTCGAATAAGTTCTACCCCGGCTGTGTCAACGTTTCATTTGCCTACGTCGAGGGTGAATCCCTATTGATGGCCTTGAAGGACATTGCACTGTCTTCGGGTAGCGCATGTACTTCGGCCTCGCTTGAGCCTAGCTATGTGCTTCGTGCGCTTGGGAACAGCGACGAGAATGCGCACAGCAGCATCCGGTTCGGCATTGGCCGCTTTACCACGGAGGAAGAGATTGACTACGTGCTGAAGGCGGTCAGGGAGCGTGTCACGTTCCTGCGTGAGCTCAGCCCCCTGTGGGAGCTTGTGCAAGAGGGCATCGACCTGAACACGATCCAGTGGAGCCAACACTGAGGTGGCCCAAGATTGAACATGACACAAGCTGGTGTTTTGGGTCGGGGAAGTTATCAACTGGGTCTGGGTATAAGCGGAACCCAAGGGATTGGGCCAAAAGGCGCCAGGTTTGCGCCAGCCAAGCCGCTGTAATAGCATATTGTAGTATAAGATACCTGATTTACGAGTACGAAATAATGACAATTCCCCAAACGATCAGATTGGATTGCCTCGCCTATCGTGAATGGATGCTGTTGCTCTTTTGCTTGGTACTTGGATAACACACTTCTTAGACACAACGAGAAACCAGTAACTGGTGCTTGGTAGGGGCTTTCGAGATGCTTCTATTGGTAGTGCCCAAACTGGCCAGCATATGATTGCTCTTCTGCACCTCTTACAGCAGCCGTCCAACCGATGCCAGTCATGTATCCCAAACTGGCAATGGGGCTCTATTCAACTGCATTGGTGCAGCAGGCCAATGTGACAGCGCCTCAGTCACTGCAGCGCCCCGACAGCGCCCTATGTACCTAATCCTCAGCACCGTCTGCGTGCCTTGTTCTTTCACAGCTACATCACGATTGCCACTCAAAGGCAACCGGCATCTATCAAGGCAACTCTGTAGGTATCTATCACATGCATCTGCCCCTCTATCCAGTCCCTTTGAGGGCCCATTTTCCAGTTTGCAGTTTCCAATGGGCGAGTCTCAGTTGGTGGCAGTCAATGATGAATCCATGACGTCAGCTGCGCCACAGCTGGGAGCACCTACCAAGAAGCTTTCACAAGATCAAACGCAACTGGCTTTTGATGACATCAATTGTGGATTTTGGAACGGTTGGAAGCTGCGACGCGTGGATCGTGGATGGCGGTTGCGTGCATCGTCATCGGCATCATGATTGTGGTTTCCCTTGATGAGATGATTTGCGTGGGCGGGTGAATGCTATTTAAGGGCCAGGCTGTCTTGGCTTTCCTTCTTGCATCTACTTCTTTACTCACAACAATCACAACAAACACAATCTTACCATCTTCGATCTCAACAGCCTACTATACAAACAGACACTTATACACTATACTCGTTCACACAACCACCGCAATCATGTCTGACAACTCCAACAACAAGCCCTCTACTCTCCAGTCCTACATCGACTCCGCCACCGGTGCCGTCCAGAATGCCGTGGGCAGCTTGACGGGCAGCTCAGGCGATCAGGCCAAGGGCGAGCTTCGCCAGGACAAGGCTCAGGCCGAGTACGACGCTTCACAAGCAGCAGTCAAGCTCCCCGGTGGCACCATTGGCAGCACAGGTGCCTTCGCCAAGGATGACCCCAACAGGACCGAGGGTTCATGGAACCAGACCGTTGGTGCCGCTAAGGAGACACTTGGTGGTCTTGTCGGCAATGAGGTATGCTTCCCTTCAATCAAAACGGCCACCCTCTCGTGATGCCTTCTTGAGCTGACATGTTTGACATCACAGTCTCTGAAGTCGTCAGGCCGTCAACAGAACCTCGAGGGTCAGCAGCAGGAAGCAAAGGGCCAGCTGCACGACTACGGCCATGGAATTGGTGATCGTGTCCAGGGAACAGTCGGCAGTGCCGTCACTGGCCTCACCGGAGACACTTCCGGCCAGGTACACTACGAGGAGCTGCACGATAAGGGCAAGACACAGCAGCGTGGTGCCGAGCACGACATCCAGAAGCAAGGCGAGGCCAACTACTAAGCCCGGCAGAGCTGATGGTTATGGGGAGGAAAGTGACGTTGAAGGCGTGGAAAGATACCCTAACCGTGTTATGATTTGACGGAATTCCTATGAATAGTCTTTAGCTTTGATCGATTGATGACCAAATTGACTCGATTTCCTTGAAATTGCTCTTGTTCGCCCCTGAATTCACGTATTGTGTTGCTGTTGCTGTGTCCCTATAGTGGCAGAGCCATGTGCAATTTGCTCTACATAAATCAATTCTCATATGTTGTACGCCAACAGGTGCTATCAAGAAACAGAAGCGCCGATACGGGGTAGGTGTAACAAAACAGAGTTGTTGTATGCGTTCCACTCCAGCTGAGGTGCCGTCGAGTACAAGACGATATGACACTCATGCGGCGTGTAGGTAGAGTCTGGTTAGTATACATAATGGCGTGTATTCCCGCCCGATGGCACCGAAGGATGATATGACGACGGGCATGGCGAAATGTATTTTAGGGGAGCTATATTCTAGGACGGACAGCGGAAGAGGATCGTGAGCGTGAGTCCTGTGGAAGCGAGGGCAGATCAAGCGGAGGACAGAAAAACCGAGAACGAGAAGATTTCAAACATCCACACGTTAAATCATACGCCTGTTCTTTAAGTATCACTGCTATACGTAGTATTTATATCTTCTCTAGTATTTACTACTATATATATGTCTCTCCAGTAGCTGCTACTATATCCAGGCATATTTTTATAGTAAATGCTACCTAGTACTGTACTTATGTAGTAACATTCAGCTGCTGGTCGGATAGGCATTTCCTTACAAGAGCACCATTCACCGAGCTGATTGGGTGCTGATATTGCTAAATACATGCGCTTGTTCATTTTGCTGTCTCGCCCTGTTTCTGTCCTCGGCTTGGCAGATTTACGACCGTTGGTGCTACTGCTGGTGAGAATATCTTGATCAATTTGGGCTGGATTGATGCGCTTGGGGAGCGACAAGACGGGGAAGATGCCAACGATAGTAACGAGGCTGATTTTGGTGAATGGTTTACCATATGGGCATTCCGGCGAAGTAGATTATGATTAAGAAGTCAAAGAGTGGGAATGAGGAGAAGGGCGCTGAAGATGCATTGGAAGCAGGTTGCTCTAGATACTGCATTAATAGAAACAGGGACAAAATACAAGAGAAATTTTGGCAATTCGGTACCGCCTAATTTGGGTATCGCCGTGGAGATGCTGGCGAAAATCATGGCTTCTGTGACTCCTCGTTGGATGCCCAGGAGCATGATGACGCCTGGATCCTAGATGGCTCAGGGGTATCTGATGCCATCTCCAGCGGATGGACAGGGCATATTCTTCGGTGATGATTGGCACAAGACTGACTCTGTTAGATCACATGCTGGGATGTAGAGCTTACGAGGGCGCCCTGACATGTTTGTTTTGCAGTTTGTGTTTTTGTCCTCGAGTTGTTTGTCAAACGCACCGAGTATGGGACATGTTCGATTGTCCGACATCCATAATGCTAAATTCTCGCTGTACAACACAATCAATACATGCTGGTCTTGGGAGGGGGATGTCAAACATGAGGCTACCATCGTGTTTACAGATGATGTCTTGTTATGGCTTTATCATCGATGGACAGCCGCTCATCGGGAGCTGAGCTTGATGACGAAGAGGTTCACGAAGAGGAGCGAGATGAGCTACTGCAGCTGGAAGTCTGGACGGCAGGATTTCAAGGAAATTGTCTCTTTTTGTTCTGGAGATGGTGACAATGGTTGTGGACTTGGGGGTTATCTGACTTGTAGAGAACTGAAAAGGCGGGTTGGGTTGGTGCACGACAGGAACAACAAAGTTCCATTCAGCCCCCTATCTCGACTTATTCTGTCGGGACTCATGACATTCTATTACCACTCCTCTTTCGGCTGAGCCTAGAACCACGGTGCGGCGAAGATGTTGGAATTTGTTAGTTGGTCGCCATGGTGCTGAAGCAGGTCAATACCGTTTCCTATGCTGTTCATCTGCACGGAATCAAGATAACTAGTTCCCTGCTTGTGATATCGTTGAAGATTCCACTACATGTTTCTGTACTCGGTGATTATATCTATTAAACCTCGTGCTCTCAATACATTGTAGCTTGTGTATGTCGTTATCAATGGTGCTACGCCCGCGAGAATGTATACGATTTTCACACCTTGGCAGCAAATTAAAATGAGCTGCTAATTGGTCATTCAATGCGCTTCCGAAAATACTGCAAGGTTAAAACCGATTACGATTTGTTTTAAGCTCACTCGTAGTCAAATAGGAAATATCGTTATGTGTATCAAATGTAAGGCAAATAATTGCCACCACGAGACTCCTGCTCCGGCTTTGCAAGGCAGCAAGTGACCATTCCCTTGATTCCTGCATGCCGCAAACCATTCAAAGAACAGCACACAGAGATCCAAACCGTATTGTGCGTAGACTCAAGGATGCAAATATACAATGTCTTCCTCGCTGGGCACACGCCGCTGAGGATTGCGTTGGCAAACCTCCAAGCATACCCGCATGTACATGTACGTAGCTTACAACTACATACCTATACAAGTTACTATTGCCTATCCGTAGCAAGCAAATCCTCTCGGAGCAGCATTTCAAGCAGGGATCGGGAATATCCATCAAAGTCGCACAATAGAGCCTTCCGTCTCCAGCAAAGTGCGGACATCGGGCTTCGCCGAGGCTGACATGGAGTTTGCGTGGGTTTTTCTGACGGGAAGCGACTTTTTTTGTGCCACGCACCTCAACTGTTGCTGCGTGAAGGACCGCTGATGCTACAAAAGGATGCCGATGCGGAGCCGTAGCTCTGTCGATCTCACAACTTCTTCTTTCGGGGAGGGGAGGGGAGGACGGAGGGATGGAGATTTGATCCTTTCATGGGATGTACTCGTACGTGCAAGGCTGACTGACCGGGCGATGCTCTGGAGAGGTACTCAGCTAGATATTCCGAGAACAGTATCGATGGATATTTCTCTCCAAACAAACCGTTGAGCGGTGAGTATTATTGGACAACTTAATTTATCCATTCATGTCTATTCGCATGCAGATATCCGTCTGTTGCATCTATTTTGTTTCCTTGGATATGCCGGGGCATCTTGTTCAACTGCCGCTGTCCTTGCTGGTTGGCTAACACGCCCATACACTCTGTAGTCGCACAAGCACGGCAGCCCCGGAATAATGCCTTGTCGAGCATCTAACAGGGCAGTTTTTGTTGAAAGATTGTCCTATTGGTGGACAGAGCTCTCATGCGGTTGCAGAGAGTGCATCTCGCAGTGCTTGTATGCGTTAGCTAAGGTGATCGATGCAGTCAGCATCAACTCTTCAGGCAGGTGGAAACTCATAGTGCAACGCTCGATACTACTACTGCTGCTACTCTTTCTACTCTAGGCAGTATCGAGCACTGGGCAGATGCTGGCTCCTCCTGTATACAAAACACCTTCAGCGTCTTTTGTCCGAGGAGGAATCCGCATGCTCCGAGACATGCACAAGACCTACTCGTACATGTACGAATGCTCCGCTGAATGCAGGGCTGTTGCTGCTACAGGGGCAGGCTAAGCTGCCACGATAAGCGATGGATGAGGCCTTGTGCCAGTCCCAAGTTTAAGCCTGCCGGTGGCTGAGAATGTCTGGTCCTTTTCCCACCTGCGGTAGAGCGCTGGGCACGGACTGCGGAGTAAGTCTGCGTAACTGCCAACACCAAGGTACAGTACTACTGTAGCTATCACCAGATCAGAAAAGAAGGCGGGCTGGAATGTCGACAGCAAAGGCTCCTAGCGCAAAGCCAGGTCGAAACGAAACAACGTTGGAAAATCCCCAGGGCTTCAACCGCCCCCGGCGTGTTTCGCCTTCTAGCCATTGCCTCGTAGTCGTTTCCTGGTTGGCCCAACGTCTACACGCAGACAGGCCAGATACGCCACAAGGCCCGGGGCTGGCGGCCATGCCGGCTCGGGATTTGGGGGGGATGCCCTTGGGGGCCATCTGTAGTGAGCGGGGGACGGATGGCCAATGCTTCGTCGTTCATGGGTGAGGGGGCCAATTAATCAAGGGACGGGGTGCTCCGTAACAAGCCATGCACCGTGCCTTGCAAGTAGCCCACGTGTATGTAGGAAAGGCAGCAGCAGCAGTTTACAATATATCGTAAGGGACTCGTATGCGGTTGGTGTTCGGTACTCGGTGGGATTGGATGGGCTGCCTGCAAAAGGATCCAGGAGTGTCGTCCCAAAGGATCTCGGTTTGGCAGCGCAGCGAGGCTGCTAGTGCTGTTGGCTGGCGATTCACTCCCGTCATAGTGGCTGGGAGCTGAGATTAGCTTGAAATGGCGCTGCGAAGACAAAGCTGGGAGCTCAACGGGTCGGTGCGAAGGGGCGCCGGAGAGATTCGCACCAGTGTGAGCCATCCTGAGAGGATACTGTCTGGGCCGATGTTGCGATGCTTCCTAGGAACAAGCGGTCTTGGGTGACTCGTATGGCCGCAATACCGCAAACAGCGTGCACGTTTTCGAAGACTGTACAGTAGCAAAACGAAATCACCTTGAGACAACTGTTAGCATCCGATTCTACACACACACACACACACACACACACACACACACATAGATGTCGTCGTGCCATGATCCCTGATGCGTGGAGCAATCGCGCCGCATATATACAACTAGCCCGTGAGGCTAGCAGGCCAAACAACGGAGTTTGTCTCGTGTGGTTTCGCCCTGCCTGCACAGACTAGCAAAGCAGACAGACTGTGTCCGAGTCAGGTGGTTCGATGGCGAGCTGAGCTGCAAACTCCAGATACGAGCAGCTGTGCCGTCCAGGGGAAAAAGTTTTCTCTCTTGATCAGATGAACTCCGCAGCTCGATTCCATCACGACAGCTCTCGATAGCGCCAGTAAGCGTTGGCCCGTGGATATCAGGACTGCCGCTTTAGGCAGTGTTGGACTAACCGATGGACACCTTGGCGATACGACCAGGCTGACCTATCCAAGCTCCGAGGAGGAACGCGGAT